AAGCTGAACGTTCAGCCGAGCGCCTGGACGCGCAAGGTCTGAGACCGGGTTGTGAGTCAACAGTGGTGGACTTAACCTATTCACAAGGTGGATCATCTCTTCGCGATCGACAGATGGGCGGTGAGCGTGAATGTTCGCGTCGTGGACGCCGGCGTCGTATGGACGCAGACGCCGTTCCGGCAAGTGCTGACTCTCCCCGCGAGAGCCCAGTTGAGGCAAGACCTTCTCCCGCTTTGCTCGATGAGCATGGTAATCCCACTTTCACGTGGAACGCCTTGTGGCGCGGCGTAGATGCCAATTTCGTACCCAGTACTTTGTGAGGTGGAGGGGTTACCCTCACTCACAGAACGCATGGGAGTGTGAGGTTATCCCCCGGCAAGATTGCCCTGTCGTCGTTGACGCTTACGATCAGGCACATCATGGGCCGAAGCGCCACCACCCACTAGAGAGGGGAGCGATCAAGTCAGTAGTTGAGCTCAGGCTCTGACCAGTGGCTTCAGCAGCCAGCTCGTACGTATGAGTAGTGCTCGCAATGGGAGCAGGCGGTAAAGAGACCTCGTGGTGTTAGGGACATGGTCTTGAAAGGCGCAGGTGCTTCGTGTTGTGCTGAACAAGGTTCAGGCACAAGCGTCTCGATAGACGCATAGTTGTTTTTGAAACAACGGCATTGAGCTATAAGGGCGATGCCCGTACGTTAGTCCGAGAACGGACAACTCATGGTATGAGAGGGCTGCGCCCGGGTGCTTTTGAACAGCCGACCTGTGGCTTCCAAAGCCAACGCTCGACCACTGAGCTAAAAGGGTGTTGCCCTTAAGCTTGTTTAACCCTTCCGTCACTAAGGCTTGATAAGGAAGAATGTGGTTTTTTTCACATGCTTGATAATCAAGCATGTGGGGATCGTCATAGAATGGGCGTTTAAGCCGCTCAGTCCCCGGTGTACAGGGCTTGGGGTCCTAACTGTAAAGATAAAGTTCCTTGGAGATACGCTGTCGTAAAGACGGTGCTTCAAACGAGAAGCCTCTGAACCATCCATTCATTCTCCAAAACGACACGCGGGACCAAGATGCCTCCCCGCCGCGTCACGCGCGCTGAAGCGGAGGCGTTCCTGCGTCGTCTCGACGGGAAGGAAGGCGCAGAACGCGCCCGGCTGCTTGAAGAGCACCGTGCGTATGTCGATGGTACGCGAGACCGCGATGCTGACTTTGGCGACGACGTGGTGGGTGAACCGCTTGTTTCAGCTCCTACGTCAGCAACGACAGGAAGGCGGCCTAGGATGACAGTGGCTTCACGCAAGCCTCCTGCTCCAGCTACGTACCAGAAGAAGGGCGCACTAGTGGGGTACTACAATTTGCTGGCAAGAGCGCCGCGGCTGAAAGGGAAGGCGCCTGTCGCAGCATTGTATGTAGAAGAGTTTGCTGCCGATGCTGCTTCTGCTGATGAGGATGGGAGTGACAGCGGAGATGAAGATTACGTGGAAACGGGAAAAGACCAAGGAAATGACGACGCTGAGTTTGACATGGCGACAGCGATAACAACACCGAAGAAGGCGGCGAAGAAGAAAAGACCGGTAAAGGCGACTGGTACGACTAAAGCAAAAGGTAAGCGTAAGCGCGCAGCATCGAAGAGCTCAAGAGCTGACAAATCTGCGCGGACAACTAGTCCACACGTCGCTGCTGATGACGAAGCCGACAGGTGAGGAGATTATGCGTTTTTCGTACGATGTGTTTCTCACACTTGATGTTCGTAATTGTTTGTAGCGATGCGTCTGTTGGTGGCGATTTGGACTAAAGTGACACGTCGCCATCTCCGCCATGTGCAACAAACACAACGCAGGCAAATCGTGGACCCACGTCGACATCGCAAGATGCTTCATCTGCGCAATAGACTTCACTCTTAACGCCACCTCGATCTTCGGCTGCCAGGTACGGTGTCACATGATGGATATCAAGCATGTGGGAGATTTATTTCTGACAGCATGCTGTATATTACTGTTGGTTCTGCAAGGTCCTGGATATGGCTACTGTTATTCACACAACTGCGGTTCCCACAACCCCGCCTCCTCTCTATTCCCGTATGTATTTTGCTAGGATGAATATCATGAATTGCAATTACTAACTATGCTTGATATTGCTGTTTGTAGATCCATCAAAGCTTCAAGACTATGGACACTTTCTTGGGCTATATGATGGTAGCTACGGCCCTTCCGATTCAGTTCTTGAGTGTGCGGAATCTCCCCTAGAGTTAGTTCTCTATTTTTTGCCAAGAGAGGTTTGGATGCACGTGGAAAGGGAGACGTACAAGTATTACGAACTTCACTTCGCAGAGCGGATGGAGGCTAAGTTTCGTGCACAGACTGGAGAAAACAAGAAGACGCTAAAAGAGATTGTGGCGAACGAAAGACGTATTCATGAGGAAATAAAAGCTCATGCGATTCTCCAGTGTATCGGTCTGCTATTGGCACGTATGTTGTGCCCGCACTCACGGCGAGTGTTTGACCATTGGGCCACATCATCGGTTGGCACGGTACCGATTGGAACGTTTGAACGATTCATGAAGCGAGACCGGTTTGATAGGATTATGCGGTTTCTCCACTTTACGGACAACGACGCGCCGGCTGCAGAGACGGACAAGGGTTGGAAGGTGCGATCAATTATGAACACATTGGAGAGGACGTTTCTGAGTGGATTTATTACGCTCCCATGGTTGTCATTCGACGAAGCAATGCTGCCTTCGAAGAGCAAATTCAACCCGACGCGTCAGTTCGTGAAAGACAAGCCCCACCGATGGGGGACGAAACTTTTTATGACGTGCTGTGCGAAGACATCTTATTGCCTCAGGTACGTCTGTTTGCGATAGCGTCTGCTTCCATGCAGACGTGTTTTTATTTTTGGATTGCAAAGTCTCACATGATTGATGTTATGCTTGTATTGAACGGACCCATGTCGGATTATTCTGAATTTGAAATGTTGAATTTCTCGCCGTGCTGGATATCACGCATGTGAAATTACGAATTATGGTGGATATACTGTGTGTGAAGATTGGAACTTTACTATGGAAAGAAGAACAGGGCAAATAGAGGTGACATGAATGAAGTGGATCTGCGGACGATAGCTCTGGCCCAGCAGCAATGTTACGGAACATGAGCGCTGTGCTTCCTTCTAAAAAGACGGGGTTTTCTACGCGGTGGCAACCGATCGGTTCTACACACCGATACAAAGCTCGCTACAACTCCTTGAGAGGAACGTCTATTCTGTGGGCACCGTTCAAACTAACAAGAAAGGGTTTCCGCCATCGCTGAAGCAGGACAAGAAAAAGCGTCCGAAAAACATCGCTCGCGGCACAACCCAGATTGTGGTGTCAAAGTCAGTCCCGAAGCTCTCCGCTCTTGTTTGGTTCGACAATACCATCGTGTACATGCTGGCTTGTGGAAGTAGTTATGCAATGGACTCTTGTGGTAACTTATTCAGTTTATTTTTACTGCTACTATTTTCTAACCATATAGTTTATTTCAATGTAACAGAGCGGCGCTTTCCAGGTACATTAGGACAGAAGGAGACGGTGCCTTGCCCCGCCGCCATGGCGACGTACCATCGGTGTATGGGCGGGGTCGATGTCCACGACCAACTTTATCTGCAACGCTACTCGCTGCAACTCTCTCTACGTTTTCGGAAGTATTACAAGCGTTTGGCCATGGCCTTTTTGACATGGCTATCGTCAACTGCTATATTGTGCACCGCGAGGCCTGCCAGTTGAGAGGCGATCCTCCGGCTGATCACGCCGGTTTCATCGCTCAGTTGCAAGCCCAGCTACTACAAGTGGGGTCAGCCGAATTTGCAAACACGGTAAGTAAGGTGCTCCTTCTGCTTGTTGTTCTCATTACTAACTAGTACTGTATGTGTCCAAAGATGTACTCACCTAGACCAGTTACACCACTGCATGGCGACGCTCCACCGTCCACCCACCAACTAAAGATGGCCGATGAATGGGTGGGGGTGAATGGAAGTCGAAAGCGACGTCAACGGTAGTGCAAGCTCTGTACTATACGCAAAACAAGCATTACACAGCGGCAGGTGACGCGATTCTACTGTCCTGGCTGCAGTAAAGGCTCAAAACGGTACGTTGCTATGCTCTATGTTTCTTACTACTGCTATATAACACGTATAATGCAGTGTCTACTTGTGTGACAAGGTGCGCCAAGCACATTACCCCAATAACAACCAGACTTGTTTCTCCATTTGGCACCAACTTTAGCGCAATGGAAGCGAGCGCAAACAGCCGCGCCACGGCCGCGGTATCCAGCTGAGCCCCCCCTCCCCCCCCCAAAAAAAAGGGGGCGGAAGGACAAGAGGATCGTGAAGAGGAGGAGGCCGCAGGTCTCGGCAATGAGGGAAGTGATGGTGGTGAAAATTCTGATAGTGATCAGAACGAGACAACGGAAACTGAAGGCGACGACGCGGTAGAGAGAGAGCACCAAGTGTAGGAAACAGTGAAACTGCGTAGGTAATAGCCCAAATGACTTGCTTTTAGCAAACAGATGCAATAGACAAATTTGCTTTCGTAGCCGCTCTGCACGTGACTCCGTCAAAAACGATTCATTTCCAATAAAAGAGCCATTTGCACATGCATGATGTCGCGTATGGGCCTTACGGAATTTACTCACCATGCTCGATATAAAGCATGTGGGTTTAAAATACGTACGATTGCAGGATCTTGTACAAATATACAGACACCGATCTTTTTTTTCCTCTACAAATTTTACGTTAAGACTTTTTTTAACATGCTTGATATCAAGCATGTGAAAAATAGTCTGTGCATTCAAGTTTTGCTCTCGTAACGGAAGGGTTAAGCGTGAACAATCGCTCATGGAACGAGAGGGATTTGCCTTGGTGGGCTCGAGCCACCGACCTGTGGCTCCCAAAGTCAACGCTCAATCATTGAGCTAAAAGGGTGATGCCCTTCGGCTTGTCCAAGAGTAGGCAATCGTTCATGGAACGAGAGGACGACGCCCTGGTGGGATCGAACCACCGACCTATCGCTTCTGAAGTGAGTGCTCACCCGCTTAGCTGTTGTCGACGACTCGGATGCGTCAAGAGCATAGCTCTAAGCAGTTCGTAACGCTTGGAGTAGGCGCGGAGCGCGAGCGTAGGTCTGAGACCGCTTAAGAGCAAGATGCGCGCTGCGCTTGGAACATTGGGCCGTGGGCCGACGACGAGAAGTTGGGCATCAACGATGCGTAGGCGTTTGTGAGCTCACGGAGCTGTACAACGCTGGTGTGAGGTGTAGTAACCTCCGCCATCTTAACAAGACGTGACTTCGCCGAGGAAAGTTTCGAGAACGAAATGTTCTCATCTTAGTGGGGGAGAGTGTAACGGGGTTACATGGTGTGGAACACACAGGGGTACCTGGAGAGTTAACAAACTCTCAGTACATAAGTTTGAGGGTTAACAAGGTACCTCCGCCATCTTAACAAGACGTGACTTCGCCGAGGAAAGTTTCGAGAGCGGAATGTTCTCATCTTAGTGGGGGAGAGTGTAACGGGGTTGCATGGTGTGGAACACACAGGGGTACAAAGTACCTGGAGGGTTAACAAACTCTCAGTACATAAGTTTGAGGGTTAACGTTGGCTGAAAACCACACGTTTTGCATTTGATTAGGTTTAACTATGCTAGATGTTAAACAGATACAATTACCCCTAGGCGGCTTGGCCGCAATAATATTAATAAAACACTTCTGGTTTTGAATCATAAAAGCTAAGGTATTAGCTTTGAGCCTGGTCTTGGGCTGTAAGTGTTCTTTGAATAAGAAACTGAGTACTAGTAACTCTTTGAGTCGAACGTCTTCCTCTGACGCTTAAGCTACGGCAGCCCCGCCGCAAATATATTCATAACAACTTTGCCGTCCAATACTACATGTAGTACTGTGACGGGGTCACACGGCACCTTACGCTAGAGGAAGTTATCTTCCGAGAGTATCCAAGCTCTCAGGGAACGGCAGTTCACTGGTCCCCTCTTTATTCAAAAGAGAGCGAAGTGACCTATTTAAGGTAAAATGTAAACTGAGTATATTTATAGGTAGATAAAGCTTGGGTTTAATACAAACTATAAGTCACCTATAGAAAAGCAATGTCATCAGCCAATGGTTGGCTTGGACGACCTTGGTACCTTGTACCAAATATCCCGGAGTATGACGTGTCACACGTTATGTAACTAGGGGTACACTTAGGGCTACGTATCCCGTTACATCCTTCTCCACTTGGGTTCGTTTTACCGACCAATCAGAATGATGAGGTGTTATTCACAAAATTTCATTCTCAAAGTCGAAAAACATCGACTTGGCCGCGCAAGCGCGGCGGAGGCTCACTTCACAGTTAGAGCCTCGAGCAGCAGTCTGTGTGCATTTCAGCTAGGTCTCCACTTCGACCGTTTACCATGCCTCGTGGCACTGCAAGGAGCGGTGCGAAGACACGCTCGAAGGCTTCTGCCGGATAGGCGCAAGCCAAGAGCGCTAAGTCTCACGGCAAAGGCTCGGCACGTCAGGAGACCACTCAGGTGGCCTCCGAGGCGATCGGCTTCTCGCGTCACGCGGCTATGGGGAAGCGAGCAAGCAAGCGTCGCAGCCCGTCGCCCTCGGCCTCTCCAGATAACCGTCCGAACCCTCGGTTCGCTGAACGTGAGTTTGACTCTGGCAGTGAGGACGAAGCCGAGTCCGAAACACGCACGATGCTCCTGCGTGCTCTGCGGGAGGGCACAGCCCAGTGCCATGCGAGCACAAGGACGACAACGTGCAGTCGCTCACTAGTGATCAAGGTGACCACAGTCCCACGACATCTGTGCGCTTTGAGACTCCGGCCGTCAAGGCTAAGGGCACTCCCAAAGCCGGTGGCGATGAGGAAGAAAACCTCGCAAATGTCACTCGCTTGACGAGGGTCTTGCGCGTGCTAATGCCTTTAAAGCCGAAGGCGCCAAGACTTCTAAGAAGCATACAGCTTTTGAGTCTTCACTCCGCGAGGAGAAAGAGTCTCGACACTCCCATCGGGGCATCTTCGACTCCTCGGATGAAGAGGAGAAGAAGGAGGAAGAAGAGGAGGAGGAGGGTGCTATCGCTGAGCCCCGGGAGGTATCGAATGAGCTTGAGCAGCAGCAGGAGGATTTCCAAGCTGCCCAGCGTGTGCGTTAGGGCTCGATGGTGGCACCCGTCAGCCAGGGAGCTGCCATCAACTCGCGAGGGTATTGGCCTCCCGAGGAGAGTTCTGGGGCTGACCTCTTCTTAGAGCTTCACGTCGCTCCTCGTGGTCTTGTGGGCGGCCACACCGCTAGGGGCATCTATGAACGTGCCCTTGTTCAGAAAGAACAGTTGTTCGTTGACAACTTGGAGGCTGCTCGGTGTGTGCTTCTTGCGCCACACCGCATTCCCCTTAGGGACTTCACGACTTGTCGTAAGAAGCCCGAGACCCGGGTTTGTCTCTATCCTCTTTGGGGATACCCCCGGGTTATGCCCGAGAACTGTCCCACGTGGCGTTCTTGTGAGGACATGTTCTGGGCATGGGTGGAGTCTCTTAAGGACTCACCTACGGAGTTACGGGAACTCCATGAAGATCAGCTGCTGTCCCGCATCCTGGACCAGCGTGATCTTCGTGTGAGGTTTGCCCACTTGGTCAGCAAGCGCATGGTGCCAAGGAACATCCTGAAGCGCGCGGCTTCCAGCGCTCACGATGAGCGCGGGTACGGAATGTGTTCATCGTCCGTACCCCGTTCGGGCAAGAATCCCCGGACTACTTATGAAGCTGCTACCGCTTCTGTTCCCAGATTGCGACAGCCTTTGGGCAGTCAATCAGGATCCGTTCAATCGGCTCCCACGAGTTCTCGGAGTGGGCATAACCCCTTCACTTCACAAATAGCTGTCGCTTACCGCGACGCCTTTGCTCCTGGAGGATCCGCTCCACGTGGAAGTGGACTTCTCCATTCCGTTCAAGCAGGGGCGGAGGTGCCCTCGTACGAGTAAGAGTACTCGGCGCCTCCGGAACGCCAATCTCGCCTAAGTCCTTCTCCTACGGGTCCGACACAGGGCCCTGAGGTTGACCGTCTACGTCAACGTCTCCTCGTGCTTGAGATTGCACTTGGCTTTAAGACTGGCGGTGATGCTGCCGCGCAGGCCGGGAATCAGGGCAAGCTCGCTCGTCTTGCGGGTCGCATGGACCTGTTGGAGCGAGAGGTCGCGAGCCTGCATCTGCGGGTGGATCGCCAGGCCTCTTCGTCTGATCTGGACGAGGCCTTTCCCATGATCCGACGGATTGAGGCTCTGCTGCCACGTCCGGAGCCGCCTTCAGCGCACTCCCAGTCGTACGCGTATGGTGCGTACCCGGCGTACTCAACGTACTCGGCGTATGACGCCGGGGTCCTTTCGTACGGGGCCCCTCCGTCGTACGGTCTTGACCGCAGCCTTGCCGTTCCGACCGAGGCTTGGGTGCCTGCTTCGACGCCCTCGTCGACGTCTGTGATCGGCCCTCGCTTCGAGGAACTGGGTCAAGGTGGGTCTGCGAGTCAGCAACCCCCTGCGGATCAGAGTACCGCTTAACCCTTCTACTACGACATTACGGATAACCCGGAAACTCATTTATAGAGGTGAAACTGTTCCGAGATGTTCGCAACAACATTCGAGGAACGACAGTTCGGCATATTGAATTTTGTATGCGATAATTTAAACGGGTTAAGTGTAAGCTGTACACCACTTGCGACACGGGATTGTCGGGAAGCGGTTAGGTTTACATATATAAGGAGCCAAGAGACTCTCCCAGCCCTCCATTTGAAAATCAGCGCCGGAGAAGAGACCATCACTCCTGAAGATGTTCACCTTCGAGTAATCGCTCAACCAGATATGGCGCGAATTGAAGAAGAAAGGCTGGCTGTATTAAAACTCATCTGGCCTCAGCAACGCCCCCCGCTACCCCCCCCGGTGGCAACCTCGCGGGATCGGAAGGCGTGGACTACTTTGAAGATTAGACTACCGATGCGAATGTGCTGTATCGGCAACTAACCGTGTACGCTTGTCAGGCGAGATGAGTCTGCTTCACCACTGCAGCCGTAAAGGATGGCTTGCCTTCGAGTCAGATCCACCAGCTTCGACGCCGACCATCGCCGAGCTCGATCAACCCAAAAATGCTCCTGGTCCGTCCGAGACTACGTCAGCACTGTCTGAAGAGAATCCTGCGCGGTCTGAAGCAGATTCCGAAGAGGTGCCTGCGCCGTCCGAGCCTGGATTAGCTGCACCCGTTGCCGCACCGAAGGAAGCTGCTGCGAAGAACACTGCGATTGCTTGGCCGAGGGCTGCTGCCAAAGCCACTCTCCCAGCGAGAGCGTCGACTATCTCAAGTGTACCACCTGCACCTAGCAAGGCCAGAGGTTCTAGCAGACCACGACCCGCAAGAAAGGCAACTAGTTCGGCACACGACATTGAAACGGATCCGCGACCTCGACAGAAAGGCAAGCGCAAGGCATCGAGTACAAGAACGTCTACGAAACGACCCCGTACTGGTACGTTTGAGTTTCTGATGCTGACTGTTGCGAAATATATACTAAATTTCTTGTTACGGATTGTGCAGTTCCTGGTGTTCAGGAAACGACCTCACGTACCACTGATAATACCCCGCAACCTGTTCCGGATACCCCTGTCGAGGTTGATGAAACTCCTGAATCTTCTATTACGGCGGTACCCACTCCGGCAGCAGTTCCAAGCGCGGAGCAATCTGGAATTTCTCTAGATGACTTCGATTCGGATAACTTCTTGGATGCACTGCGACGGGACCGGCTGTTTGGGCCAATTGATGCTGATGATATAAACATTGGAGGTGGCGACTGATTGCTCCCTCTAGATTCCGAAGCGAAAGGTGACGAAGAGTCCATTCTGGCGGACGAAAACGATGAAGTGGACGAGGCAGTTGCTCTTGCTTTTGATGACAAATTTGATGACGACGTGGCAACTGAGCGTGACGAAGTGCCAGTGGAGTTTAACGTGACTGGTCCAGAGCTTGACAGACTTCAAGCAGAGGGGTGGGAGGTGTTCGGTGAACGCCAC